CCCCCATCACTGCCTCTCCCCCATCACTGCCTCTCCCCCATCACTCTCTCTCCCCCATCCCTGCCTCTCCCCCATCACTCCCTCTCCCCCATTATTGCCTCTCCATCACTGCCTCTCTCCATCATTGCATCTCCACCATCACTGCCTCTCCCCCATCATTGCCTCTCCCTCATCACTGCCTCTCCCCCATCACTGCCTCTCCCTCATCACTGCCTCTCCCTCATCACTGCTTCTCCCCCATCACTGCCTCTCCCCCATCACTGCCTCTCCCCCATCACTGCCTCTCCCCCATCACTGCCTCTCCCGCATCCCTGCCTCTCCCCCATCACTGCCTCTCCCCCATCATTGCATCTCCCCCATCATTGCATCTCCCCCATCGCTCCCTCTCCCCCATCGCTCCCTCTCCCCCATCGCTGCCTCTCCCCCATCGCTGCCTCTCCCCCATCGCTGCCTCTCTCCCATCACTCCCTCATCACTGCCTCTCCCCCATCACTCCCTCTCCCCCATCACTCCCTCTCCCCCATCCCTGCCTCTCCCCCATCCCTGCCTCTCACCCATAACTCCCTCATCACTGCCTCTCCCCCATCACTCCCTCTCCCCCATCACTCCCTCTCCCCCATCACTGCCTCTCCCCCATCACTGCCTCTCCCCCATCCCTGCCTCTCCCCCATCACTCCCTCATCACTGCCTCTCTCCCATCACTCCCTCTCCATCACTCCCTCTCTCCCATCCCTGCCTCTCCCACATCACTGCCTCCCTCCCATCACTGCCTCTCCCCCATCATTGCATCTCCCCCATCACTCCCTCCCCCCATCACTGCCTCTCTCCCCCATCACTCCCTCTCCCCCATAACTCCCTCATTACTGCCTCTCCCCCATCACTCCCTCTCCCCCATCACTGCCTCTCCCCCATAACTCCCTCATTACTGCCTCTCCCCCATCACTGCCTCTCCCCCATCACTCCCTCTCCCCCATCACTCCCTCTCCCCCATCACTGCCTCTCTCCCATCACTGACTCTCCCCCATCACTGCCTCTCCCCCATCACTCCCTCTCCCCCATCACTGCCTCTCTCCCCCATCACTCCCTCTCCCCCATAACTCCCTCATTACTGCCTCTCCCCCATCACTACCTCTCCCCCATCACTGCCTCTCCCCCATCCCTGCCTCTCCCCCATCCCTGCCTCTCCCCCATCACTCCCTCTCTCCCATCACTCCCTCTCCCCCATCACTCCCTCTCCCCCATCACTGCCTCTCCCCCATCACTGCCTCTCCCCCATCCCTGCCTCTCCCCCATCACTCCCTCATTACTGCCTCTCTCCCATCACTCCCTCTCCCCCATCACTCCCTCTCCCCCATCACTGCCTCTCCCCCATCACTGCCTCTCCCCCATCCCTGCCTCTCCCCCATCACTCCCTCATCACTGCCTCTCCCCCATCACTGCCTCTCCTCCGTCACTGCCTCTCCCCCATCACTGCCTCTCCCCCCATCACTGCCTCTCCCCCATCACTGCCTCTCCCCCCAACACTGCCTCTCCCCACCATCTCCACCTCTCTCTCCCATCGCATATCACAAACTCTCTCTGCCATTACCGCTTCTCTTGCTCCCATCCCCGCTTGTTTCTTCTACCCTTGCAGCTTTCTCCCATTGCTGTATCCTCTTCTCTCTCCAATCACAGCCTCTCTCTAGCTTCCTCTTGACGCACAGCCACATAACTGCGGCTTCTATTCCTGCGTCTGAGTGGATGGCTGATTTAGTGGATGGGTGGGTGGATAACTGACCGAGTGAGTAAATTGTGCGAGTCACTGATTGAATGGCTCTGGGACTGAGTGAGCGAGCGAGCGAGCGACCGACCGAAAGAGCGAGCCAGCCAATGAGCGAGCGGACGCGTGATTCTGAAAGCGAGAAAGTGCGCAGTCGAGTGAGTGATTGAGGAAGTGAGTCAGCCGTGAAGTAAGCAGTTGAGTAAGTGAGCGAGTGAGTGAACGAACGAGCAAGCAAATGAGTGGTTGAGTGCGTGGTTGTGTGGGTGGGAAAGCGAATAACCAAATGGGTGAGCGTTTGAGTGAATGAGCGAGTGAGAGAACGAGGAGTTAATTACGTGGGTGAGCGACCTGCTGAGTGAACGATTTGGTGAATAATGAGCGAGTGAGTGGTTACATAATTGACGAGTGCGCGAATGAGTGAATGGTTAAGTGAATGATGAGCGAGCGTGTGAGCGGTTAAGTGAGCCACGAGTGAGTGAGCGAGTTGTTAAGTGAATGATGAGCGAGCGTGTGAGCGGTTAAGTGAGCCACGAGCGAACGAGCGAGAGGTTAAGTGAGCCACGAGCGAGTGAGTGAGCGAGTGGTTAAGTGAGCCACGAGCGAGCGAGCAAGCAGCCGAGTGAGCGAGCGAAAGCCCCTCGAGGCAAAGCGACTGTCATGGGGAGCCAGCCCCCCCCCCACCCCCGCTCCCCCCCCCCCTCTCGGCATCTCCCTTTGATGCTCCCCCCCGCACCCCAAAATGAACAGCGCTCGTTTCAACTCCCCCATGACTCTGGGCGTGGGGGGGGCTGTATCAGCACGCGGCAAGCGAGGGAGCTTAGCCGCGGAGGCCCTCCACAGCGAGAGAGATGTCGCATTCGGGGCGCGATGGGGCTAGGCCGAGGGAAGAATAAAACTCCCGGGGTATTTATATTCGCGGCTCTCGGTCCCCGCGGGCCCCCTTTCTTCCCGAGCGCAACATTTATTTTGTCTGGGACGCGGCCAGCGACGGAAAGCGCTGACACCGAAGCTGACGTCGCCGATCGGAAGAGGTGGGGGGCCTCTTTCTCTGTCACGCGGCATCACGCGACCCCGGTTATTAGACCGTCGCGTTAAAAATTTGTCACGTTTGAATTTGATTCGCGTTGCGCACTTTGTTCATCGAGCCAGCAGATCCCACAGTTGGCTGTTATCTTTATATATGTTATATATAAGTGCGTGGAGGGGACCGATCCCTGCCATGGGAATGTGGAATATCCACTGCTGTGGCTCAGGGCTGACAGTGGAGGTGAGTGCTGCCCCACTCCTCGCTTGAGCAGGGAGAGACTCGGACTCAGACTTTGTTATTGCAGCTGGCAAGGCCACATTGAGCCAAGCAGCTCAAAGAGGCCTTACATACAGAGCCATTGAGTTACATACAGACTCATAGAATTGCATCTAGACTCATAGAGTTACATACAGACTCATAGAATTGCATCTAGACTCATAGAGTTACATAAAGACTCATAGAGTTGCATCTAGACTCATAGAGTTACATACAGACTCATAGAATTGCATCTAGACTCATAGAGTTACATAAAGACTCACAGAATTGCATCTAGACTCATAGAGTTACATACAGACTCATAGAATTGCATCTAGACTCATAGAGTTACATAAAGACTCATAGAGTTGCATCTAGACTCATAGAGTTACATACAGACTCATAGAATTGCATCTAGACTCATACAGTTACATAAAGACTCACAGAATTGCATCTAGACTCATAGAGTTACATACAGACTCATAGAATTGCATCTAGACTCATAGAGTTACATACAGACTCATATAATTGCATCTAGACTCATAGAGTTACATAAAGACTCATAGAGTTGTATCTCGACTCACAGAGTTACATATAGATCCATAGACTCAGCTGGCAAGGCCCCATTGCGATAAGTGGCTCTGTTACAATGACGACCGCAGCCCATTGCAGTTGCAGAGACCCATAGAGTTACATACAGCCATCGAGTTGCATAGAGAAGCACAGAGTTACAGAGAGATATACAGAGTTACACAGAGATGCACAAAGATGCACAACGTTACGCACAAATTACATCCATCCATAGAGTTGCTTTCGTGACTGCAGGAATCCATACTCTTTGGTTCTTTCGGTAAAGTCACGTAGGTAGAAAAATTTAATAAAACAAAAAAATAAGAATGATTTATCATATGTAAGTACATAGCTACAGTACATAGAGATCCATAGAGCTACATACAGATGCACAGAGTTACACAGAGATCCATAGAGTTACATAGAGATACACTTAGTGTTAAATAGATCCGTAGAGTTACACAGAGACTCATAGGCCACAGTCAAAGGCCGTCGGTAGTAGCAGCACTAACCGGACATCGCTGGGCGGGAATAAGCAACGTATCAAAGAGCAAAAACAACAAATTATATACAGGAAACCCACAGCAGAGCTGACCGCAAACAGGACAAGCAATAAATAAAGAGTACTTAGGACACTAATCTAACGGGCTCGGACATAGGTAAGCTCGGCCGCAGCGTTCACGGCCACAGTGGCGGAGGTGATCCTGACAGCGGGGCGCGGACGGGGTACGTGGGGGACACTACGGTCGGCTACGAGGAAGACCCGACGTTAGGTGCGCCGGGGCAAGAGAAGGCTGCGAGGCCGACTCTCGCGTTCCAGTCCGGTGCCGAGTACTTGCGTCGTCACTTGGCACCAGTTCTGCCGTAGCAATCTGACTGGAAGAACTTCCCATTAGCACGGTGGGGGGGGGGGAGCACGTACGGTGCGAAAGGAGTTCGACGTCCTCACATTTCCTGCAGCACAGCGTCCGCATGCAGGCTGCAATGATAGACGCAGCCGTGGGGTCACCTCTCAGCCATGCCCCATGGAGAAGCTTTCCGCTGCTGGGCTCATCATCCACAATCATCACGTGCCAGGGTCTATCCACTGCTGGGCTCATCATCCACAATCATCACGTGCCAGGGTCTATCCACTGCTGGGCTCATCATCCACAATCATCATGTGCCATGGTTTATCCATGGCGCATATTTGGGCAACCGCTATTTTTAACGGCCATTCCGAGTTAATAAACCGCTAAAAAAAGAGACGCGTGGTTAATTACACAGGTTTTGTTTTGGTCAACCAATTATAACTTTGTCAACTTAATCGACCAAGAGGCGGAGCACAACGGTGGGTTAGAATCTTGACGGGGCACGGTGGCGCAGGGTCGTGGTGTGGCGGCCCACCTGTACGGCTGCGCCTCCTCGAGGAATCTGCGCTGCTCATCAGGGGGGGCGCCCGACCGCAGCTCCTTTACGACGACGCGGGACGGGCTGAAGCCGGCAAAGATCTCTCCCAGCAGCACCTGCAGCAGGGCGCGGGGGTGGATGGGCGGGACCACAGCAGCAGGGTCAGAAGCGGCGGCAGGAGCGAGAAGACCGCAGCAGCAGCAGCGTTTGCAGCGGCGGTGGTGGCAGCAGTAGCGGCGGTAGTGACAACAGAAGTTGCAGCAGCAGTCGTGGCAGTATCAGCAGGAGAAGCAGCATTAGTAGTAGCAGCAGCAGTAGCGGCAGGAGTGTCAGCAAAAGGGGCAACATCAGCAGCAGTATTTGCAGTACCAGCAGTTGCAGCAACAGGTTACCATGCGGTGTGTCGCGACGCGTCGATTCGGATCAAGATCAATCTTCACGCTCACGACACAATCTAAATCTGGATTGAAATCTAATTTTGTAAGAACTGCTTTTTGTGTTTAGTCTTGTTGTCCTTCCACCCGCACCTCTGATGAGCACGGTTGGCTACGTACGGCGTGAAAGAAGTTCAACATACATACTGTACTATACACTACACACACTGTGCTATACACTGCACACAAGGCTACATTAAACACTACAAAACACTTCACTTTACACTACACTACGACTAAATTTAAAATTCTTATGTTTAGAAGTGCTTTTATTGTGTTTGGGTTGTAGCCCTTCCACCCGCACCGCCGCGTAGCACGGTTGGCTACGTACGGCGCGAAAGAAGTTCCACGTCCCGTACCATAAGTAGAACAACGCGCCGTGCGCATCGTGAGCACGTTATAGGCAGGGGATAAGCCCGCGTTTCACATCAGCTGACGGAGCCAACGGGGTCGGACGAACCGTAAAACACGTAACGAGGGGCCGTCAAAGAATTCTCGAGTAGCATCGGGAACCCCCTGAATTGTGAAAATTTGTGGATATGCTGCGTGGAGGTGGGGGGGGAGGGCGGTGGTGAATTGTGCGACAAACTAAAGCGGTCGCCGCTACGACTTGGCAGTTCCAGCTTCCCCCTGTCGATTCCTTTAAATTGGGGGAGCAAGGGAAAGCGTTTAGGAATCGACTGCTCGTGATTGCGACACGGGGTTCAGGCCACCGGCTCTCAATTGACCGGACACGGAATGTCCTGTGCTTTTTGAGATCCGGGATACTGCGTTGAGTTTCCTTGTGCATTGGGCGGCGTCCCCTCGTTACTCGCGAGGCACACGTTCCAGAGCCGCTCGTGACGAGCACGTTACGCGGAAGATGATGTTGGCCTACTAAAACCTACCTTTGTAATTATTAACATTGAATGAATAATGCTGCGCATCATCACAATGATGCTACGCATCATCACATCTCATCACTTTATCTCATCACTATCTCTCTCTCTCGCTCTCTCTCGATGCAGTAGTCGTGTAGAGTTCCAGATGCGAGATTCGCGGACAGCCAAAATCGCGGATCGCCAAGTTCGCGAATAGCGAGCGAAACACCGCAAATTCGTTTGGCGCGCTCCGTTTGACACACGGGAGTCAACGGACGTGCCGCCATCACCCGTTACCGAATCAGAGGACATCAGTGAACACGCGTTATTCATTGCGACCGAATGAATTTTGCTTTCCACATTTTCGGATATGCTGCGCGCTCGGATCTTAACATTTTTTTTATTTTTTTAATTTAAATTCCGGCTAAGTAACGGACATCCGTTGATTTGAGCCCGACCTTGCCTTTCTTTTTTGGGGTGGGGGAGAGGTGGGTTTTCGAGGACAGAATGAAGCCACGAATTTTCCACGATCCTTGGCGACGATTAGCACGTGCGGTTTCTCAATGCCGGCGCAAACTCCCTGCGAACGCGCCGCGCCCTACAAAACAAACCGGCACGGCCGGCACCCTCCCCCCTCCACCTCCCCCCCCCGAGATAAACCGCGACTCAGGAACCCGACGACACGAAAGCGGCAGAGCCGTCGGCATCCCGGGCTCTGTGGGGCCAGGAGGGGTGGGGGGGGTGTGGGAAGAGTCCCGCAAACTTTTTTGGCCGACGGCGCGGTTTTATGTCGCTGGTCACCGCATCGCGGTCGAGCCACCGAGCTACGCAGGGGTCGAGCCAAGATAGCGCCTGGACGAGCGGGCGGGCGCTCAGAGCAAGCAGTGGGCAAGTGCTGCAATGTGAATTTGTTATCCTGCACTTCAACGTCCCCCCCACCACCACCCATGTCTTTGATTAAACTTCACCAACAACCCGCACTGACCAGCGTGAAGTATGGTCAAAAAACACCCCCCCCCCCACTGCTGTCCCCTCGCCACGGGGAGGCCCTCATCCAGCAGTGGAGTGACAAACGCGGCTGTACGCGCGCACGCGCGCACGCACGCACGCTCACGTCTGCCAATTGCGACTTAACTTTCCACTGGCAGTTGTTTTTTGGGGTTTTATTTGTACATTTTTCTTTTTTAGCTTGGATCGTTATCCGAGTTTGATGCGGTCACGGAGGGTACAGTGTTGCTCGGTTTGGAAACCGCGGAGTGGGCGAGCGAGCGAACGGGCAGGCAAGGGCACAGACGGGTGGTGAGCTCTGCTTATCTCGCTCACTATCGCACGTTTTTTTGACTTTCCAACGAGTGTCCAAATATATCCGCGGAGAGGCTTTATTTACAGGCGCGTAGCGGCGGTGAAATAGAATAAAATAATAAAATATGGATTGCGTTTGTAGAAACAATTACAGACACTATTCAACTAAACCATTCTTTTTATTTTACCAGGTAAGGCCCACTTTAGCTATACAACTATTTTTTTCAGAAGAGACCTGGCCACAAATGATAGCTCAATAAAGTGGCTTGTCACGTGAAAATTTACAGCAGCCAAAAATATGACGTCGAATAATGTAAGCCTGTGAATTTTCAGCTGTTCTCTCTCTCACTCCCGCTCATTCGTGATTTGGAATTCTCTACGAGGCCAATGTGTGACTCCGTCAGCACGGCGCGCGCAGAAGCGTGGAGGTCAGAGGGCACAGCACGGTGGCTGGAAGCCGAGAGGGCAGGAGTTTGAAAGTCAAGGACAAAAAAGCTGACATTGGACAGCACAGCCTGGAAGGTCAAGCGGGAAGGTCAGAATACGGAGGTCAGACAGCAGAGGTCGGATGGACCATGGGAGGGAGGTCGGAGGGCAAAATATACAAATCGAGGACATTGGGGCGCCACGGTGGCGAGATGTTAACAACCTCGCCTGGTATACAGGAAGTCGTGGGTTCGATCCCGACCCTGACGCCTGCTGAATATGTGGAGTTTGGGTGTCTCTCTCCCCGTGGTCACGTGGATTTTTCTCTGGGTCCTCCGATATTTCCTTACACATTCAGGATCAAAATGCGTTTAAGAGTATTTGCCTGCTATAAATCTCCACGTGATAATCCACATTGTTGGGCTGTCATTTGCGGCCAGGTTGCTCCTGAAAAAGAGCTGTAACTCAGTGCGCCTTACCTGGTTAAACAAGTTTTCAGTTTAGTTTGGAAGGCTGAGCTGGGCAGAGAATGTTTACAGACTTCGCAGTCCCTGGGCTCCACACTTCCCCCCCCGCCCCCCCCCCAAGCTTCCCCTTGCTTCCCATCGCTTCTCCGCGCTTCCCGTGCACAGGACGCCGGAAACGTGCGGTTATAGGGTGGTTAAAGGACACGTCCGGCTCGGATGCAGCCAGTCGCCGGGCGAAGATCCGCTAGGATTCTCTGCCCCGGCAGATACGCGCGGGAAGACGCGGTCCGGACCACGGTCGATGGTGAGGGCGGATTTTTCACTTGGAAGATTTTTTTTTTTTTTAAACACGCAAATGAGAAATGGACTCGTCATCATTACACAAACTCCGCGAACTGAATTCGACAAATAGAATCCGAAGGCAGGACCCCTTCTGAGCTGAGTAAAGGCTTTTTGGAATCAGTTTTACTTTAATGGTCAATATAAAGCAAAGTTGTGAGACATTTTTGGAAAGCGTTGTGAGAAGCGGTTTATGCGCATGTACACAATGTACAATTCTGAATATGCCAGAGCTATTGTGTGTGAACACACACAATATATACACACATGCAGTGTTTACGTATAGAGTTACATTATATACACAACCCACACACAACACAACACATGCACAACACACACAACACACGCACAACACGCACGCACAACACAACATTCCTGTACACACTTAAAAAAATCAGAAGCCAAAGATTCTGGAGTGGCAATCATCTCCATTGCATTGCAATCCCTGGGTCAGCGCTGGCAGTTCCACATTCATATGGCCGGGACAAGTCCATATGGAGGACGACCACTGTTTATGTCCCAGCAAAGGTGGAGCTACTAATTTTATCGACGAGAGATAGATGACGATGATGACGATAGAATCAGTCGAACACCCAACCGGGAATCCAACTCATGGCCTTGTGATGCGTGTGTGTGCGCATAATACATAATGCGTCGTCCATAACTCAATCATTTCCCTCTTCGCAATGAAAGCTTGAGCCATAAGATCGGTACACCCAGCCTTGCATCATCGCTCACCACATGCTCATCAGCAGTTCCTCTATGTGGTGGTGGTGTTGGTGGCCGTGTCGCATTCCCACGTAAATTAAGCTTCGGACCACACCCAACATCCCTTACCATCATCATCACTCACCAACATCACCCAACATTGTGTACCGTCACCACACCCAACATCACCACCACCACCACCTATCATCACCCACCGTAATCACCACCTGTGTACTCCAGTGTGCTGTGCATTGCGTTGTACTGCGTGTTTCTCTATACCACTACGTGCTGTGCTTGCTGAGTACTGCTACGTGCTTCTGTATTATACGTATTGCCGTGCACTGTGTACTGCTGTGTGCGTCTTGCGCACTGTGTACTGCTGCATACTATGTGCTGCTGTGCGCTGCTGTATTGTGTGAGCTTGCTGTGTACTGCTGTGTACTGCCGTGTACTGTGGAGTGATGTGTACTGCTGTGTGCTGCGTACTGCTGTGTACTGCCATGTATTGTGTACTGCTGCGTACTGCTGTGTACTGCCATGCACTGTGTACTGCTGCATGATGCGTACTGCTGTGTACTGCCATGTAGTGTGTACTGCTGAGTACTGCTGAGTACTACTGAGTGCTGCTGTGTACTGCTTTGTACTGCTGAGTGATGCGTACTGCTGTGTACTGCCATGCAGTGTGTACTGCTGAGTGCTGCTGAGCGCTGCCGTCCGTCCCACCTTTCCGAACCATCCGCGGCCGATCTCGTGGATGTAGCTGAGGCTGCGCCTGATCTCCACACCTCCGCCGGCCTTCTTCAGCGCATCTGTCACGACGACGGCGAATCAGAGGACATCAGTGAGGCACAGCCACGCGGGGACAGCTACGCAGCCACGCAGCTATCCCCAGACAGCGCCGCTCTCACCAGATATCACCGCTCACCCCCGGCGCCTGCTGTGTGTTTGCAGTTTGCGTGTCCCTCTATCCGTGGTGGCGTGGGGATTTTTTTTTCTTCCTCCGGGTCCTCCGTTTGTTCCCCTCCAAATTTAGAATCAACGTCACGGCGATTAAGAGGATTTGGCTGCTGCTGCGATGAATGTGCCAAGTGATGATGATGATGACGATTATGACAAGCCACTTCCCACGTGATGATGATCATGATGACAAGCCACTTCCCACATGATGATGATGATTATGACAAGCCACTTCCCACGTGATGATGATTATGACAAGCCACTTCCCACGTGATGATGATGATTTTGACAAGCCACTTCCCACGTGATGATCATGATGACAAGCCACTTCCCGCATGATGATGATTATGACAAGCCACTTCCCACGTGATGATGATTATGACAAGCCACTTCCCACGTGATGATTATGACAAGCCACTTCCCACGTGATGATGATGATGATGATTATGACAAGCCACTTCCCACGTGATGATGATGATTATGACAAGCCACTTCCCACGTGATGATGATGGTTATGACAAGCCACTTCCCACGTGATGATGATGGTTATGACAAGCCACTTCCCACGTGATGATGATGATAAGCCACTTCCCACATGATGATGACAAACCACTTCCCACATGATGATTATGACAAGCCACTTCCCACGTGATGATATGACAAGCCACTTCCCATGTGATGATGATTATGACAAGCCACTTCCCACGTGATGATGATGATGATGATAAGCCACTTCCCACGTGATGATGATTATGACAAGCCACTTCTTCGACTTAACATTTGCGATAGTCAGGTCGCTTCTGACAAAAGAGCTGGATAGCTCAGTGGGGACCTTACACAGTAAAACAAATATAGTTTAGACCGCTACAGCCGATACAGAGCACATGAATGCTGGTACAGCTAACCAGGAACAGCTGTTCTAGCTGCAGTTATCCCAGATACACAACTGCAGCTATCCCGATACAGTTACCCCACATACGGCTATCCCAACGATATATATTATTTTCCCAGTTGCGCTATCTCGGCTTGCAGATGCAGCTCAGACGACACGGCCAGCCCTGTCCGACATAGCAGAGCCATCGCAGTACAGATATCCAGTCAGCCCTTTGGTGTAGCTACCCAGGTACAGCTCGCCCAGGGGGAATAATAAAAAACCGCGGTTAAGGCTATCGCCCGCTTGTTGGCACAAGTTCGCGGTTTGAATCAATCAGCGGCGGCTGCCCTGGTTAATACCGCGGCGGTGCATAATACAACACACAGCTGTCAACCCATACGGTTTACCCCCGTTACTGTACAGGCAAATTGAGTTTTCAGGTCCAAACGGCGTACAGCCGTTTCAATATGGGCAAAAACCATAATGTGTGTCTACTTGTTTGTGTTTCTCCCTTGCGATGGTGACTTTACAGGATGAACGTTGAGATTTATAAGGGGCACGGGGTGACCAATAAGGTCTGAATTGGCCCGTAATAAGGCAAGCACTGAGAAGGGGTTGACAGCTGTGACAACAGCAACAACAGCAGCAGTAAACAACGCGCCAGGTGTGCTTCATAGCGGACGTTAAAGGTCCCCGCGACGTCATTCGCAAGAGTTAGGCCAATGCGTGCCTCAAAATGAATCCCGGATATACTCGATTGGGATTATAGGGCACAGCGGCAGACTAATGCCTCCAGGTTGGTCTTGCAGATGAGACTAAATGTTGGTCTCTTGAGTTCTTACCTGGTTACGCAGAATCAACTAGAAAACCTGAACGCACTCACCTTCCCCCTCACCCACTCACTTACCCACTCACTTACCCGCGCTCTCTCACTTACTCATCCACCCACTCACTCATTCGCTGACTCTTGCAAATGAGAACCCTTATCCTGGTCTCTTGAGTTCTTACCTGGTTAACAAATAATCAAATAAAATCCTGAATGCACTCACCCACCCACTCACCCACCCACCCACTCACCCACCCACTCACCCACCTACTCACCCACCCACTCACCCATCCACCCACTCACCCACCCACCCACTCACTCACCCACTCACCCACTCATTCACCCACCCACTCACCTACTCACCCACCTACTCACCCACTCATTCACCCATCCACTGACCCACCTACTCACTCACCCACTCACTCACCTACTCACCCACCTACTCACCCACTCATTCACCCACCCACTCACCCACCTACTCACTCACCCACCCACTCACCCACTCACTCACCCACCCACTCATTCGCTGACTCTTGCAAATGAGGCTCCTATCCTGGTCTCTTGAGTTCTTACCTGGTTACTCAATCAACTAGAAAACGTGTCAACAACAACAACAGCTGCTGCTGCTTAGAGAAGGAAGCGCCCTAGTCTGGCTCTATGAGTCCCGTGCCTCCCCAATGATTCCGAATCCTCACACATCCCGTTTCGACTCTACTCCACCAGAGTACTATTTACACTGTAGTACTATATACACTGTAGTACTATTACACAGTACAGTACTATTTACACAACCGTACTATTACACAGGACAGTACTATTTACACAGTAGTACTATTTATACTGTAGTACTATTTACACAGTACTATATACACTGTAGTACTATATACACTGTAGTGCTATTTGCACAGTAGTACTATATACACTATAGTACTATTTGCACAGTTGTACTATTACACAGTAGTACAATATACACTGTAGTATTCTATACACAGTACTATTTACACAACAGTCCTATATACACTGTAGTACTATATACTGTAGTGCTATTTACACAGTAGTACTATTTAGACAGCGGTACTATTTACACAGTAGTACTATTTACACTGTTGCACTATTACACAGCAGTACTATATACACTGTGGTACTCTATACACAGTACTATTTACACAACATTCCTATATACACTGTAGTACTATATACACTGTAGTACTATTACACAGTAGTACTATTTAGACTGTAGTACTCTATACACAGTACTATTTACACACCAATACTATATACACTGCAGTACTATTACACAGTAGTACTATTTACACAGTAGTACTATATACACTGTAGTACTATATACACTGCAGTACTATTACACAGTAGTACTATTTACACAGTAGTACTATATACACTGTAGTACTATTACACAGTAGTACTATTTACACACCAATACTATTTACACAACATTCCTATATACACTGCAGTACTATTACACAGTAGTACTATTTACACACCAATACTATTTACACAACATTCCTATATACAATGTAGTACTATATACACTGCAGTACTATTACACAGTAGTACTATTTACACACCAATACTATTTACGCAACATTCCTATATACACTGTAGTACTATTACACAGTAGTACTATTTAGACCAATACTATTTACACAACATTCCTATATACACTGTAGTACTATATACACTGTAGTACTATTACACAGTAGTACTATTTACACACCAATACTATTTACACAACATTCCTATATACACTGTAGTACTATATACACTGTAGTACTATTTACACACCAATACTATTTACACACCATTCCTATATACACTGTAGTACTATATACACTGCAGTACTATTACACAGTAGTACTATTTACACACCAATACTATTTACACAACAGTCTTATATACACTGTAGTACTATATACACTGCAGTACTATTACACAGTAGTACTATTTACACACCAATACTATTTACACAACGTTCCTATATACACTGTAGTACTATATACACTGTACTAATACACAGTAGTACTATTTACACACCAATACTATTTACACTGTAGTACTATATACACTGCAGTACTATTACACAGTAGTACTATTTACACACCAATACTATTTACACAACGTTCCTATATACACTGTAGTACTATATACACTGTACTAATACACAGTAGTACTATTTACACACCAATACTATTTACACTGTAGTACTATATACACTAGTACTATTACACAGTAGTACTATTTACACACCAATACTATATACACTGCAGTACTATTACACAGTAGTACTATTTACACACCAATACTATTTACACAACAGTCTTATATACACTGTAGTACTATATACACTCCAGTACTATTACACAGTAGTACTATTTACACACCAATACTATTTACACAACGTTCTTATATACACTGTAGTACTATATACACTGTACTATTACACAGTAGTACTATTTGCACACCAATACTATTTACACTGTAGTACTATATACACTGCAGTACTATTACACAGTAGTACTATTTACACATCAATACTATTTACGTAACATTCCTATATACACTGTAGTACTATATACACTGTAGTACTATTACACACCAATACTATTTACACACCAATACTATATACACTAGTACTATATACAGTGCAGTACTATTACACAGTAGTACTATATACACTAGTACTATTACACACCAATACTATTTACACACCAATACTATATACACTGAAGTACTATATACACTGCAGTACTATTATGCAGTAGTACTATTACACAGTAGTACTATTTACACTGTAGTACTATTTACACACCAATGCTATTTACACACCAATACTATTTACACTGCAGTACTATTTACACTGTAGTACTATTTACACACCAATACTATTTACACTGTAGTACTATTTACACACCAATACTATTTACACTGTAGTCCACAGCGATACTATTTGTTGACAACTCGGAGCCCCGTCTTGTCCAGTGCAGGCCCACGTGACGTCTTGCGACCCAACCATTTCATTCTCTAAAATGTTAACTTATGTACATGTGTATATATGTTTATTTATTTAGCAGTAATGCTTATTTAGAACAGAGATGAATATGCAAAGAAAACAAAAATAAAATACATGTTGGGGG